TGGCATGGTGGATGTCGGAGTGAAGTTGTCCAGAAAGAGCAAAGGGCTATTATATAAATATAACATTGTTGTCCGTAAAAAATATATGTATACAATTCATTATATACTTATTAAAAGTGAGCGTGACAATTATTTGTATATAGCGTAAGTGTAATTACAATTATTTATATACAATTTATGTACGCTTTTTTCATGATTTGCAAATAATATTTAAATATTTATCACATAATTGAACAAATTATTTATACATAATTTTGACAATACAGTTTCTTTATATATTGGAAATAAAATTATCTTGTTTACTATACACAAATACAATTTAGGATTACTTAATATGTCATACTAATAATTAGTAATAGCATTGTATTATATATAAATGGAAATTGTATTTATTACAAATAATTTAATGATATTTTTTATATATATTACATACATACATTTTGGAAGCAAAATTATATATAAATAAATAATGAGCTGTATTTTATTATATACAAATAAGTCCAATAATTCATTTGTCATGTATTATGTAAATATAATTAATTATGTAATTATAATATATAATTTTCTTATATCAATAAATGAACAAACGGCACCACATAAAAAGCAAGTGTTTTGTTATAACTTGTTTTAAACTATGCCCCTGGAGACAATGTTATTCATTCACTTTATGATTGGAATTTACTTTTTCCCACTGTTTGAAGGATACTAATAAACTTCATTGAGTTTCTAAAATCTTAACTTGTCATTTTCAGTGTACACACAACAAATCGGGAAGAGATTACTTCTTTTGTTGAAAAAAAAGATATGTTATTAGGACTATGACGCTAGAAAGGATCAGTTTCTAGTTATATGTTAGGACTTTATTGACATATCTACATTATTAAATATATAAGCTGGAAACATGTAGCAATGTATATGAGGAATAATTCAACAGGCCGTTTTCTTTTTCGTAATGGAGTCACACAGTAATATTACGTTTATTTAGAAAAAATAGATCCGTACCCCCATGCACATATGACCTTGTGCAGCAATAAGCAGTATATTCGCAAAATATATATATATATATATATATATAAAATTCCTTGAACTTTATTTAGCCACCTTAAAAGTACGGCTACGAGGACATTAACGGGAGTTAACGGCCGGTTTAAGGTCGAGGTTCTAGTAAACGAGACCCCAAACAGGCCGTTAATTACCGTTAGCGTCAGAGGTACGACACCTTAAAGTGCCTGTGAAATGGCTGCTATTTTCACGCCAAAATTATCAATTGATACATAAATATTATTAATTTTTATGTTTCTAAGCATGAATTATTTTTTTTAAGTGAAAAAATGTGTTTTAAACTCAGTCTACGGCAACTTTATTTTTGTGTATTTTAAAACGAGGCAACTCATTAGCTTCTCATTTGCATACAGAAATTCCCCTTGTGACGTCAAAAGGGGAAGTCGCATGGCAGCTTGCATTGCCGATACGTGTAAATAAGGCAAATTTCTTGTGCAGTTTTCTCGTCTTTGACTATATTGTCACTTATGTACTTGTTCGTCGAGGAAGAATGGACCATAATGAACACATAGTATCTTTTTTTGTTGCATGGGGTTGAGTTAGATGCGAAATAAAT